TGAGAATTATTGTTAAATATTCTCTTCGGGTGGCATTGGGTGGGTGGGTTCTTGTTTCGTCGAACTGATAATATAAATGGTTAATTAAAAAATAACTGTATTTAATCCTCTGATTACTCCGACTTATCCACAATTATTTATCAGAAGTCCACTACCACTGACAATTACGCCAGCCCCACCGATAACCCCACTGCCTCCAATGAGTGCTCCACCAGTGACAACTCAACTACTACCAAGTCCTCCTAACAATGAACCTACTTTGACATACGCCGCAACGGATCCGACAATTGAAAATAGATGTATATTCAACATTGACATGGTTTTACTTGATGTATAGAATATGTAAAGTAATAATCGGATATGTATGTCCTTTTATACTATTTTTATCGTCAGGCACGTAATACATGGGTTACAAATACTAGTGGCTTGATATAATATGAAACAGGAGAATTGTTAGATTGTGTTTAAAAATTGTGCAGTTCAGTCATATGTTAGTTAAGCAGTTTTCTTTTCTGTGGATACAAGCCTATACAGAGCATTAATTATCACAAACGTTACAGATGACAATATTAGATTAACGAATTTCAAAATAGTTTGCTGATGTAAGCCAATTTGAAAAGAGACTATTAAAAATCTGCCAATTTTCACTATTGCATCAGATAATATGTTTTCAAAGAAAGAAGCTTTTTTTTTCAATTTCATAAATTTATAACTTTGAACAAACAAATTGATACAAAAATACCATATCCTTTAGATTTTTGTATTAAATCTTAATTAGAAGACTGAAGAAATTGAAGCGTAGAAAATACATCGTCTTGACTTAAATGTAATATGGGTGTTTCTTTACCTTTCTGACTAAACAATCAACTGAAAAATGTCTCCCAAATTTACTAATTCATTGAATTATAAAAAGTGTTAAAGATCCTTCGTAGTGGTGTTATACTAACACGACTAATGCATGATACTCGTCTGACTCAATTACAGCGTGTGCTTTTCAATTTTATGAACAAAACTTCGGCATTATAAAAGTAATAAATGGCACTTGGTCATTAATGATTTTATGATAGGGTCTTTAGAAATACTGTGAAAATGTCTACTCGCGTAGTGGTATTAACAATTTGTGGATTCTTAAAATCCTTAAAGATTTTCTGGATAATTTTAAATCTTGATCTGAAATTATTTCTATCAAAACTTGTGAGTGTTTTTCAACCTTGTATACCACTAGTCCCCATCTGCAATTGAAAAATCGTTTAAAAGAAATAATCCACAATGCTGTTTAGTATACAGATAGTAGCATACACTATCCATTTATTGCTTTTGGATATCATACGGTATATTTTGTTAATAGTAAACACAATGATCAGTATGCTGTAGTTTCTTACTGACAAAATATTTGTTGAATTTGCAGGTAGACTTTGTCAATAAATTGTCGTTATTCCTATGGAAACGAACTGTGCGACTCTCCTTGTCGACCTCTTCTTATTTTTATATGAGTCGACGTTCCTTCAGGCACTTGTCAAAAATAAGAAAATCAAAGAAGCCAGAACATTTAATTTCACATTCAGATATATTGATGATGTTTTTCTATTAACAATCAAAGCTTTTCTGATTTGTTCCATTTATATATCCTTCAGAGCTAGCAATTAAAGAAACAACAGACACGGCTTTCCTCCGCCACATTTTAAGACTGATACCTCGAAATTGAGATAAGCGGTCATCTCAATACCAGAATCTGTAACAAACGAGACGATTTCAATTTTGAAATTATAAATTTCCCCCACCTTAGCAGCCATATACCAATTTTAACGGCATATGAGATATTCATGGTCCAACTCATTCGGTATTCAAGAGCTTGAAGCGGCTACTTAGACGTTATAAAACGTCACCCGTGTCTGAGTAGAAAACTGATGAACAAGGGTTATGTCCAATAACGTCTCGTCCTTTTTATAATAAAGTTCATCAGAAGATACCAAGACCTTGTTGATAAATATTCAAAAAACAATACATGATGGTCTTGAAGTCTAAATTCTAGGTACTGACGTTGTTTATTGCCTTATTTAAGTGTTATAATGTTATTTTTGTTTGTCTTTGCATATTTTTAACCTTTAATGGCTAGTCCATTTTTGATAATATACTTTTAGCGTGGATCGGTATTTATATATCCCGCCATTGCATTATTGTGCCATGGTCATTTTTGTTTTCTTTTATGCGTATGCACTTTGTCTATAGAGTGTCTATTCCCATTTCGTCTTTTTTTGTTGATATATTTCTTTGTTTGTATAATGATCAAGATTATAACACAACGTTGATTGCTGTACCCCACATTTTGAATTTTTTACCTATTGTGTCTGTTTGTTTTCCTCACACATTGTTGTCAATATAAAGGACTTATATGTGAATGTCAAGCAATTGAGAAGTTAAGTTAGCAACACAACCAGGTGTATTCCACCATTTGCTACATAAGGAAATGCCTGTTCCAAGTCAGGAATATGACAGTAGTTTTCCATTCGTTTGATGTGTTTCAGCTTTTGATCTTTCCATTTTATGAAAGACTTTTTTTTGGATTTTGCTTTTTGATATAGATCTAACCTCCAAAAATAATGCTATTGTTGAACAAAATGTTTAACTACAGCGCTTTTAAATTTTACTAAAAAAGACAATGATTTTTTAAGACCGCAGTTTTTGTCACACAAATCGTATATCATCTGGTGGTTATAAGCTAATTATTTTGTATTTACATTGTGTCATAGGTCAAATTTATTTGTTCAGTGTATGTTCAGTGGTGTTAATATGTCCTTTGATTGAGTTAAGCTATTTCAGTTGATATTTTATAGTGTGTCTTCTTTGTTGTGATGTTACACTATTGTTTCAGAAAAAGGGTGAAGGTTTGGTACCATTAAAACGTTTAAACCCGCTGCATTTGTTTGCACCTGTCCTAAGTCAGGAATCTGATGTTCAGTAGTTGTCGTTTGTTGATGTGGTTCATAAGTGTTTCTCGTTTCTCGTTTTTTATATAGATTAGACCGTCGGTATTCCCGTTTGAATGGTTTTACACTAGTAATTTTTTTGGGGCCCTTTATAGCTTACTGTTCGGTGTGAGCCAAGGCTCCGTGTTGAAGACCGTACTGTGACCTATAATGGTTTACTTTTATAAATTTTTACTTGGATGGAGAGTTGTCTCATTGGCACTCATACCATATCTTCTTATATCTAAGTCTGGTATCTTTGATGAGTTTATACATTGCACTAGGAATTTAGAAATAAAGCACTTTAATCTATTAATTTAGAACTATCGCAGAGTAACTGAACCAAAAAACTAAAAAAAAATAATTACATTGTCAAAAACAACAAGAAAATATCTAACAGTAGATACATCGGTTTTTTATTGTTTTTGTTTTCTGTTTTAGATTACATCAGCAACGTTTGAGTGAACATGACAGATATTGTGATAACGGCATGTTCTGAACTGAAATGTGTAAACACAAATTTCTAATTTAATGTCTGATGTAAGTAAGTGTTAACAATATTTATTAAACACTGTCGTCATACATCAATCTCGAAGTAAACTTTTAGGATTTGATGATCAGCCCACAACAGCATTACTTATGCAAGAACACATTTGGAAACGAAGAACAATCATTGATTTGGCTATTATGTTAGGGTTCGGTTCGTCATACATATATTTTCTTCAGTATTTTTCTGGGTTTTTTAAATGATTACTCTACGCGATCCTGCTGGAGGTCAATCTAGGAAAGTGCTTCAAAAGCATACAATTTTTAAACTGATATTGTCTTTTTTTTTAGTTTATACATTACACATGCCATTTTAAAAATAGAACCCCTTAACATATTGGGTTTTTCCCCATAGTGAGTGTCGGGTGTTGAAATTGTATTGTTAATGTTAAAAATTTTTACAACTTTTCTACGTTCTCATATATTAAAATTTTACAGAAACTAAGGTTCCAACTTCCTAAGGCAAATTTGACATTATATAAACTTAATTATTTCATGTTTTTCATGTCGAGGCCTTTTACGGCCTACTTTTCAATATGGTTTTCATTGTTGAAGGCCGTACAGTTGCCTATAGTTGCCTACATCCACTTCATTTGAATTTCGGTGGATAGTTGTCTCATTAGCAATCATACCACACACCTTTATTTTCATATAAACTATATTCTTTAGTAATTTTAATTTTTCATAAATTAGCTCTTATTTCCGTATTTATGAATCCCTGGCTTTCTTATGTAAAGTGTAAAAATCAAACATTTGATTACAGGAATTGAACAAAAATTTTGTTATGAGCAATATTTAAATATTGAAAATAAGGGGTTTTGGGTATGTCAATGATACTGCAGCCCACCCACCAAAATATTAAAAAAACACGAAAGAGAACGTATGGTCTTATACAATACATGGGTGTGTACAATAATTGCCTACGATAGTTCAATTTATGACTGGAGTTAATTAGTTGTCCATATTGGTAAAATCTTGATATTGTTTAAGTACGTGTCTATCTAGAAGTAAAATGGGATACTTTGACACTTTTTTTCTTATAATTACTTAACAAGTTATATTATATTTGTTGTTAATAAATTGCTTACTTACTCCTCTATTTTTCATTATTAGTAAGAATATTTCATTAATAATGTATCATGTTTTACTATGGACATTAACATGGCGTATAACCAGGTAGTTTAGTTTTATGTTTTCCTTGGCTAGTTTTATGTTGCGTTCACCCCTAGGCGCAAGAATCTAAATCCACTTTTCTTGATGTATCTTCATCAGAAACTCTTAAAGCCGAATATTTTAAAGCCAAGGCTGTATAAGAAATGAATCAGTTGAAGAGCAAAATGACCAAAAAAAGACGCAAAAAAAAAACCAACATTTTCATCTAAGTTCAACTCTTTTATCAATTATGTACCATGTTTACTATGCACACTAACATTGCTTTTTCAGCTGATTACATGTTAAAGCTAAGTTTCAAACAAACAAGCATGACAATCGGTTTGCGATTATATTTATAAAACAAATTTACTAATTTCAAGCATTTCATTACAAGTTTTTCTTCGTGTTCGTGTTACCTACAATAAGAAGATACACCAATTAAAATGTTAGTAAAAAATTCCAGTATATCGATATTACTAATCTAAACTAAAAAAGGCATCAATGCTTTAATGAAGGTCCACTTATGTGTGTGATACAACAAATCTATCTGATTGTGTACTATATGTCAAAATTTAGACGTTATAATATATAGTGTTAATTCTGTAGCGAATTTAATTAAACAGCACATAGATCACGCAATGCCCACATAATAATAATCTAATAGATTCAAGACAGAAAACACTTGATTCTCTCCTTCATAATGAACAGAAAAATACATTGCTCAGAGTTTCTCTAATTGCATGTGTAGCGGACTATGCACGTACTATCAATAATACACAGTTTCAAGGAACGCCATGTAGACTTCTACATGAGGTTTCATAAAGAAAAAATCCTGAAGTGGAGAACTCACATACACTACTTTTGTTTTGCCAAATAAAGAAAAAAACAACGGTTTTTGTACAACAATTGTATTCTTCGAACGTCGTAGTATTCAAGCGTATGCATGCCCAGCAAAATGTCTTGATCAAAGTATATATGATGACGATGTACGTACACCGCCAATACGCAGAGCAAATAATAAATGTCATAGAACATATATATAGAAGAAATACAAACTTACATTTGAAATACTTAATAATATCCTCCTTTACCAATTGGTCTACTGACAACATTGCTGCCTCCTCCAATGACACCAACAGAACCTCTGACAACACCACCAATTGGACCTCCGATACCACCAATGGAACCAAGAAGTCCACTACCACCTCCTAAAATACCACTTACACCACTGACAATACCTCCACCACCAATAAGACCAGATCCACCAAGTGAAAGACCGTAATTTTGGTTGGTTACCCACCATGGCAATAAGGAACAACAAGTATTCAATCTACCAGGAAGAAGAGGTGCCAAGTTACAGTTCTTGTTGAGTTTTATTTGTCCTGGAGCACATTTCAAACTACATGTGCACCATGGTCGACCTCCACCAACAAGTCCTGTAAATAAATCAATTTCAAGATTTGTTGTCATGTATATTAAATCGTATACTTGGTTGATGGAATATACACTTGATAACTTGTGTTTGACCGAAGCAATTTTCGGAATTTACCTATGTGTAAATACAATGGAATGTTTAGAGTTCTATGACGACAACGAACTTTAACAGATATCCAAATGTATCTGTGGTCAATTTTGACTGATTGAGTCTAAACCGTAGATTCTACACATTTTTTTTATGTTATCAACGAGGTATGTTACGTTAAGCTGATTATATCATCGGGAACTTACAGTCCTCCATGTTCTGACCCTAACTGGTAAATTAAATCAGCACTTGACGAATGTCATGAGTCTATTGCATGTTATGTGTATTTATATTCAGCTGGAACGTTTATTTTCGTATAAGGCACATATTCATTATAAATTAGGTACAGTGTTGTAAGAAAGAGACATATCATTTAAGAACACAGATAGATGAATATATGACAGATAAGTCTTGCAAATATTTGAATTAAAATGTGTGATGTTATATTATGTTTATTATATCGTATACTTGTTTAATGAAATAACAATCGATGAAATCGTGTTTATCTTAAAGCGATTTTTGGAATTCTTATCTATCGCGAATTTATTGATTAATCTAAATCAGAAACGCTCATTTGTAAGCATTTGAAATCTAGAGATGCGTATATACAATACAATGCTAGGAGTTCTAACAGGGATTTAAACAGACAGACAAAAGAGTAGGTTCGACCAAATTAGCTCTTGTTTTTAGCACTACTTTCGAATTAGATTTTCCTGACCAGATTAACAACCAATATAGTTAATACAATAACAAAATTGTGACATCAAAAATAGCACTCAATTTGATTTTCCACGAAAATTAAATAAACACAGGAACATTTACATATATCGACAGCAAATATCTTTTCGAGTAATGTTTCCTAGAACATTTCAAATTGCAAAGCCTGCGCCCCAGATGCTCTATGTTTCCTATGCCTAAATGTGATTAAAATTTGAACAATTTTGTCAAATTGCGCAAATATCTTTATTCGTTGGCCTTTATTGGGATGTACACATCAACGCTGTCGAATAACATTTTCTTTCATGCCTTTTCGTCATTTTGAAACTTTTTTTTCTCCTGAAACATTAAACTTAATAATGGGGCCAAATATGACCTTCATCAAATGTATTCCTTTAACTTTGGTCGATGGAGTATGAACCACAGATTTTTTAAAAATCCTTAATTTATGAAAGGGGAACTTAGGAAAGACCTGATGATGCCAACAGGGACTAATAATCGATCAGGTTTAATGCCTTGCTGGTAATTTAGATAAGTATTTGGCAAATTGCGTGCGACCAGTGCGTTTTTTTTTTTTGTAATGTTGCGTTCATCGGGACGTCTACCTGCCTATAATGGACATATTCGGTAGAAATGTAGCGATTTTTTAACACAAAGTTATACGAAATTTGCAAATTATTCATAATATAAATGGTCAATTTAAAATTACCTGTATTTAAACCTCCGATCACTCCACTTATTCCACCTAATCCACCTACTCCAGCTAATCCACCTAATCCACCATTGTTTAACAGAAGTCCACTACCACTGACAATTCCTCCAGCCCCACCAATAACTCCACCGCCTCCAATGAGTGCTCCACCTGTGACAACTCCACTACTACCAAGTCCTCCTAACAATGAACCTACTTTGCCATACGCCGAAACGGATCCGACAAGTGAAACTAAAAGTAAAGTCAACATTATCGTGGTTTTACTTGATCAGTAGAATATGTGAAGTTCTATTCGGATATGTTTGTCCTTTTATACTACTCTTATCGTAAGGCACGTAATACATTGCTTACAAAAACTAGTGGTTTGATATATTATGAAAAAGGAGAGTTTTTAAATTGTGGTTAAAAAATGTTCAGTGCAGACATATGTTTATAAAATAGGGCATTTGTTTGTGGACAAAATCCGATACAGAGCATGCAACTATCACGAACGTTAGAGATGACTATATTAGGTCAAAGAATAACAAAATGTTTTGCAGATGTAAGCCATAACCTGCTAATTTTCACTATTGCATCAGATTATATGTTTTGATAAAAAGAGGCACTTTATTATTTTCATAAGTATATTAACTTGAAAGAATAGATTGATACAAAATACTCTATCTTTTAGACTTTTGTATTGCATCTTCATAAGAAGAATAAAACAATTGAAGTGCAAAAAATACATCGTCTTGACTAAATAGGCAATATTATACAAACACTTAGTGTTTCTTTATTTACTGGATACGTGAATTACTAAGCATTTACTTTTATAATACCGAGTCTGCCAATTTATCAATTCATCAATTATAAAAAAAAATAAAGGTCCTTGAAACTGATGTTATACTAACACGACTAATGCATGATAATCGTCTGGTTCGATTACAATGTGTACTTTATGAAAACAAAATTGGCATTCCGAAAGTAATCAATGGCACTTGGTCATGCATCATTTGGTATTGATCTGACCTCCGGAATAACGTTATTCGTAAACAAAAATTACAGCGCATTTCAATTTTACAGACTTTGACATATAAGTACGTCAGTCAATATTCTACTCTGTACGTCGCATTTCCTTAATGATTGGATTACTTCAACCAGTCCTTAACTATTACGACTTGGGAAATTGATATAATTGGAAATGGATCAGCCGCCCTGACAGTTTTTATTATATAGATGTTCAGTCTTCAGATAGTTTAAAAATCGCAATTTGAAAACCTACTTGTTTTACTGAAAAAGAAAATTTTTTTCAACACCGCTGTTTTTGTCAAACACATCGTATATCATCTGGTGATTATAATTCTGGTATCTTTGGTGAGTTTACATATTGGACTAGAAAATTGATAAAAATAGCAATTTAACATATCATCTTAAAGCTATCGTAGAGTAACTGAAGCAATCAACTCAAGAAAAAAAATTAAACTGTAAAAATAGCAAGAAAATATTTAAATTGATAAATCGGTTTTTGCTATTTCTGTATTCTGTTTTGGATTACATCAGCGAGGTGTGCGTGACCATGAAAGATATTCGTGATAACAGCATGTTCTGTACTGAAATGTGTAAAAAAAATGTACCAGTAAATGTTTTAAGTAAGTAAGTGTTAACCATATTTATTAAACATTGTCATCATTCATCAATCTCGATAATTTATTTTTACTGTGACCAGGTGGAATAAGGCATAGATGAATTGAATGCAGAACGTTCACATACTTTATTATATACTATAAAGAAGGCAACGACAGATCTGAAATATACAGATAATGACAAATAAATATAACTTTACAAATAAATGCATATGAATATATCATTTTGTAGCAAATAATGTATATTATGTTTAATTACACTATTGCAAATAATTAATAATGCAAAACTAGTTAAATGACAACTCTGAATGTAAACAATTTGTTAATTAATGCTAATGAAAACTGTTCACTAAAGTAAGTTGACCATACGTCTCAATAAAATACTATACAACACTGAAAATTTATTACAGGTAAAAAAGAAAATATAAAGTTTGAAATACAATTAGCAAAGTAAATGAAACTAAATAAAATATTTAAGACAAAAACTTTTAACCATAGATTAATTTGTAAAACCCTTAAACTATAAATACCTTATTATGCTGGCTACGGCTCATAGTGTTGTTTCTGGTGTTTCTTATTCTGCATTGACAATATAGTTAAAAATTACAGTATATATATAGTCAAAAGGTGAACTGTCAAACTAGCCAGAACCAGATAAAACAACTATTAAGAAAAGTAATTTGTCTAATAGCCAGTGGTGAGTAAATACCAAAGAGCCTACATAGAGTATTTGGATTCATTGAACCATATAATACAAATATATGTTCAATATAGTAAGATATTTATAATATAGAGTAAATAGATATAAACGAAGTACAAAGTTGGGAATAATATCAAATAGATAATTTGTATATAAATGAACTTGTCCACATTACGAATTGACGATAAGCCCACGACAGCACTAGCTTATGAAAGATAGCATTTAAAAACGAAGAACAATCTTTTATTTTCAACAACTTTGAGGTCTTAGACAAATGTTTCATCATCTTATGCTAAGGAATACCTTGTATCTCAGAATGAAACAACATCAGGCAACGTTTACCTAAGATTGATTTGACTGTTATTTTAGGGCCCTTTTCGTCAGATATCTATTTTCCACCGTACTTTTACATCCTTGTTTTTCAAACTTTTCCCGTAAGCTTTCCTGATGAAGGTCAATCAAAGAAAGTGCTTCACACGCATACAATTTCAAGCTGATATTTTTAATGATTTCATACATTACACTTAAAATTTTCAACATAGAACCCTTTATCCTATCATTCTCTAAGTAGTGGTTGTGTTTTAGATTTAAATGGGTCTTTGCCATTGTGAGAGTAAGGTGTTGATTATTTTATTGTTAATGTTAAAATTTTTAAAAACTGTATTACGTTCTCATATAAGGAAATTTGAAAGAAACTAACGTTCAACTTCAGCAGGCAAATTTGACATAAGATAGATTTAACGATATTGTTTGTTGATTTTATTTGATCAATTAACTCTTATATCCGTATTTATGCATCACAGTCTTCCGTATGTTAAGATTGAGCATTTCTGATGAAGGTAAATCCACAAAATCGTTTCGGACACACTTAATGTATAAGCTGTTGATTTATTTTACTAGTACTGATTAGATACTTCTTCTGGTAGAATGTAACCCTCCGGATAATAATCAGATGTG